CACTTGTTGCAGTTGTTGTTGCTTTTGTTGTTGTTGTTGTTATTGTTATTGCTCTTGTTGCATTGGCCAAACAAACTTGCGACGTGCAAGTCGCAACTTGCAGCTCGCAGCTCGCAGCTCGCATCTGGCCGCAACTGTTGCAGTTGTGTGTATTCATAAATAACGCTTGAAAAATGTTTGCATTGGTCCAGTATTTTTATTCTTCTTCTTCTTGCTCTTGCATGTTCTTTGCGGTCGCGTACGCCGAAACTTATTATCAATTGGCCCAATGTGCCGCCGCCGCAATAAACATGAAAATGCGCTTTATATGAGCTGCGCATTGCGAGAATCCACATGGGGTCCATAACGGTACGCAATGGGGTCCAGGTCCCAGCTACAAGACAATTATGCTATGGGGGAGTTGTTGGAGCTTGTTGTTATAGCTACAGTTCTGACTGGTAACTAAATTAATCAAAATGTTTAACATACTTAAGCTCTCCTAAATCAAAGTTTGTCTTTGTCTGCGTTGACCTTAAAAACGGACTTCAAATTAGGTTACAGACTTACAAATATTATTCTATGTCATATGATTACCGTGACCATTCAAGTGACAGGTTGCCGGTTCAAATTCAGCAGCAATTTTTAATCAAACGCAGTCATATGTATTTCTTTTACCAGGCACAAAGACAGACGCTTTGGAGGGGAAATGCTCTGAACGTCGCAGGGAAGGAACGAGATCCCGTTAAGAAAAAATACATATATTTTCAAATTTAAGAAAAATGTCTTTTTTTTGCTCTGATTAAAACAGAGCTTTTTCTTTTAATCAATTGAGGCAAGGCAATATATATGAAGGATATAGCACAACTGATTTATGTCTGTCAAGATATTAAGCCTTTAGTGCTACGAAAAACTCTGTTCCATCTTGTTATGAATCTTTTCTATATTTAGTTAAATGAGAAAACTTGTGTTTTTTTCCTTAATTAAAACTGAGTTTTTGCCTTAAAGCAATTGACTTAAGACAATCTATATGAAGAATATTCCACAACAGCTTTATGTCTGTCAGGATAGTAAACCTTTAGTACTTTTTTCCATCTTCTTTTGAGAATCATATCTATATTTTATCAATAACTAACTCAACTATTATCCATTCCAGGTTTACACAAATCACATGCTCACAAGAGACTAAATGCCACCAAAGATTTTTATTAGCTTGAGGCTTGGCTGAAGAAAGCCGAAGAGCGCCCGTTGCCTGATCAGGCTGAGCTTCTGGCGCACACAAATTGTTAAGACATAAATTGTTAAGGTATAACTACGCGGATCGGCAATAAAGAAGAGATTCGCGGCAGTTAACGCGCTCAATTATCTGATCACCATAAAAATGGCAAGCGGAGGCTGACAAAAAGGCGCGATAAGCAGGCAGCAACCCGTGGATTGGGTGGCATAAAAAGCACACATAAAACCCTGATGTGACCATAACGGACTTGCGGGTTGTGGCATGTGGCAAGTGGCATATGAAGGCCGAAGGTCGTGCCACGTACAACAATTCCATTAACAATCCATTGGTCATGGGCGCAGCGTGTCGTACTAGGTGGCTCCTCCAGCTGGATGCTGCCTCCTGACTGCTGACTGCTGCCTGTTGCCTGTTGCCTGTTGCAATGTCGCTTGATTGACAGCAAACAAGCCAAATGCATTTCAATTAAACGCTAACCGCTACAAATATTTCCATTTGTGCGCGAGCTGGTCAAGTGGCAACTTCTGGCTCTCTAACAACCACTTGCTGCAGCTGCTGCGTTTTTTTTTTTATTGTTGTTGCCACTTTTTCGTGGCCGGAGACGCGAGAGCCCGCCTTTGGCTGAGAACAATCCGCGCGCTGGCGGAGCGGTCAACTCATCAGTATGCCGTATAAATTAGAGCATCAAACGGCGCTTTGCCAACTCGGAACTGGTCTATACTGTTATTGGCCATCGTCTAGTATATCCACCTATGTGCTGGTATTTGGCCTGTCTGTGTCTGTGTCTGTGTGTGTGTGTGCGTGCCTCAATCTCGCTTGCAGCTTTAGAGAAGAGTTCAATGCGACGGCAGCAATTGTTGCCGTTGTTTTGGTTGCTGCAGCAACAATTGTTGCCAGGCTAACGATGTGCTCTGCACTTGTGCATATATTGTTGTTAAATTGATATCAATTTGGCTTAATGCTGCTACCATTATGATCCCATTATATTGTTAGGCTTGGTCAATGTTAAATAAAACACTTTATTAGCCCCCCACGGCTGCCGGCTGCCAGCTGCCATCTGGCTGAAGGAGTCAACAGCCGTCGCTCGTCAATTGGCGCGTGTTATGTGAACTTCGGCGTTGCCCCACAAATATTGCACTAGTATTTGCATACCCTGTAATCAATTGAAAGAAAGGGTAGAAGGGTTCGTATGTAATTGTGCAAGCCAAAAGGAGGTACAAGGCACAAATGTTCTAGGGTATTTTTTTTGCAGCATCATTTGCATACCCTGTAATCCATTTAAAGAAATGGGAAGAAGGGTTCGTATGTAGTTATTTTCTATAACAACTATAAATATCGTTTTTACGTTCTGGCTTGGAAAGCCTCGCTTTGAGTTAAATGGAATTACATACTGCAAAGTTGACACTTGGCCTCTCGTCTGGGATGCCTCCATATAATATTATATATGTTATAGATATAACCTTGATTTTTGGTATGCACACAAATATAAATGTCATCTTGCAGTGCTTAAATTTGTATAACAATCGGGTGAGAAGTACCCGAGTTATTTGAGCCTGAAATTTTTATAGTGTGGAGCAGAGGCAAACAAGCAGCACAGCCGCTGCCTAAAATGAGCCTTATGTTCTATGGGCAGGGCATCTGATGGTCGAGCACGCCCGACTCGCGACTTACATGTTTTTTATGACAGCATCGAAGAGTAGCTAAAGCCAAACACATTTCCAGCGACATCGACATGCATATTGCAATTTCGGTTGGCGATTTAAACGCCGTTAGACGCCTGCAACTTGTTCGAGAACCTGTATTATTATAGAGACACCGGCGACAATCTTGGTTGCCTCTCGAGAAAAAAATAGCGATTCACTAAAATAAACAAGCAAGTTTTTTTATGCCATCAGCTCGACAGGATTTATGTGGCAAAAATTAAGACATAAATCATATTTGAATTTTCATATATATTTATGAAATCATAAATAAATAGAAGAGGAAGAAGAAGAAGAAGAAGTAGCTCGAGCCATGCACCGGAAGTTAACAAGTTTACGAGCTTACGCTTCGAGTCGCCACGGGGCGGGGCGGCAGGTTGATTGAACTCTTTGGGGTTCGCGCCCGACTACATGATCATGTTTTGCTATACGCTTCAAAAATTGTGAATAAAATCAAATTTAACATGAATTTTTTGTTTGTTTTGTTATTGTCAGTTAATGATGCTCTGATGATCTAATGGGCTCCAGAGTCACGCGAAAAGAGTCCAGCCAACTATTCACTCAGCGGGTTCATTGCACGCTTTTATATACCTAAATATATATATATATATATTATATGCATCATATCATATCGTACTTAAATACTAAGTACCTGACTTGTTGTTTATACGGCCCAACTCGTGAGTAATCAATCGATTGTTGTTACTCTTCGCTATAATACTTTAGGTCCAATAGGAAAAGCAGGGCATATTGAAATGTACGTCGGTTCGCAGGGCCCTAAACTTGGTTTAGTATAAACTCGTGAAAAATATGGCAATAGGAATGTAGTGCATAATTATATCGGAATCCACCTTCTATAAAATAGAGTTCTTTATTAAAGAGGTTTTAGCGCGGAGAGAAGATTCATATTTGTTCGACTGGCATAGTTGATAGAAGTACGAAATGATGAAAATGAGCAAAAGAAATCTTAAAGAAAATTTAATTAAAATAGAAAAAAAGAAGCTGGAAAAAATCATATTTAAAAGAAGTACAAAATGCTGAAGTAAAAAATAAGTAATCATTATCACAGAGAAAAGAATTTTGAAATAAAGAAGTAAAACTCTCGACTTACCAGAAATGGGTATGAAAAAACTCGAGCTCGAAGCGCAATAAAGGAATTTCACAAGAACTTTATCCTTTATGCATTAAGAAATATATAAAAAATCCATTTCCGATTAGATTGTGTCTTTAGCTATGCGATAAGGCAGTCGGATGTTGAGTACTTCATATGAAATGTTTCCTATTATTATTCCCTAATGAAATTATTTCCTTTAAAAAGTATACGCAGGATGTCCCTTGGTGAACTAGGAGAGGTCTACGAACGACAAAGTATATAGGAAAGTTATATGATAATTGGTAATGAAATATTACTTAAAATTATTATTGTTTAAGAACAGTTCATTAAAAGGTCACTAGAAATAATAATAATAGAATTATAATAAATAAATACCTCTGCTCTATATCATATAGCTCTCATTGTAACGCTCGATTAAGCACAAAGTTTTCGTATGAGAAAAGGTTTTATTTCTTTTTTTTCAAAGATTTCCTAACCAAACTCTGCCCTTCCACCACAATAGCATAGTTCCTGCATGAAGTAGGCAATATAATATACTATTTGTTTTATAGGGTATTATTATTAAATTAATATATTACTGAAAAGTATTGCAAAATCGATAGATTTGAACTCTCCTATTATTATAATTATAATTATGGTGGTCGCTGCCAGTTAACTGCGACCCTTTCGATGTGTTTCAGCCTATTCAGACAATTACCTGCAATTTGCCTGGGCTGCTTGTGCTTCTTGCATCCGACTCTGATTGCAATTGGCGGCAAATGTTACAGCTGCTAGCGATTAGCTAATGCTAATCATAGGCCTTGTTTGCTAAACGTTGCTGCAGAATCGTAAATATTGTAGTTGGGAGTCCTCCTGCATGGCCAATCAATTGGCACACACACTCATATATAAGGCACAGGAATGCCCGCTGGCCCAGAGTTCAGCTACGGGAGTCGCTGTTCAATAGTTGGCCACAGTTAGACGCAGTTATTCGATGATGGCCAGCGGGAATTTTCGGTCATATTTGCGGCTGGTGCGCGGCTTCTTTGGCGAATTTCAATCTGTGCTGCGCCAGAAATCGCAGCCGCCACGCCTCGCCTTGCACTATCATCGTGCGTTTATGGTGTATGGGTAAAATTGAAGCTCAATGTTGGACAGCAAAAAAAAAAAAGAAAAATCTAATTCAGAGCATTCTGCAGTTTGCTGTGCATCTATCCCAATCGCTGCCTGTTGGCCAATTCCACTTACAAGCACTGCAATCTCTTTGCATTGGGTAATCTGAGCGTGTTTCTGCTAACGGTTATCGTCGCCGTACACGAGTCCACCAATGTCATCGACATGGGTGACGACATCGTCTGGATAATTGGGGTCAGTTGTAACTCACATATATTGAACGGTTACTCATTCGATTATATATCAAAAAACAGGCCGAGTCGAACATTCGAGTTCGAATAAACCCGAAAACATGTTCAGTTAAACGAAGCTCGACCAGCTCGTGTTGGCAGGAGGTTCGAGCTGAAGGCTTGCCTAAATACACACACACATTAGATTAGCTCGAACACAGCTCGAACTCGAACTCGATCAGTTTGAGTCTTGATTTGAGCATTCGAGTTCGAATAAGCCCGAAGACATGTTCAGTTAAACGAAGCTCGACCAGCTCGTGTTGGCAGGAGGTTCGAGCTGAAGGCTTGTCTAAATACACACACAAATTAGATTAGCTCGAACACAGCTCGAACTCGAACTCGATCAGTTTGAGTCTTGATTTGAGCATTCGAGTTCGAATAAGCCCGAAGACATGTTCAGTTAAACGAAGCTCGACCAGCTCGTGTTGGCAGGAGGTTCGAGCTGAAGGCTTGTCTAAATACACACACAAATTAGATTAGCTCGAACACAGCTCGAACTCGAACTCGATCAGTTTGAGTCTTGATTTGAGCATTCGAGTTCGAATAAGCCCGAAGACATGTTCAGTTAAACGAAGCTCGAGCAGCTCGCGTTGGCAAGATGTTCGAGCTGAAGGCTTGCCTAAATACACGCACAAATTAGATTAGCTCGAACACAGCTCGAACTCGAACTCGATCAGTTTGAGCCTTGATTTGAGCATTCGAGTTCGAATAAGCCCGAAGACATGTTCAGTTAAACGAAGTATGAACAGCTCTTGTTAACAGGATGTTCGAGCTAAAGGCTTGTCTAAATACACACACAAATTAGATTAGCTCGAACACAGCTCGAACTCGAACTCGATCAGTTTGAGCCTTGACTCGCTCGACTGAAATAATCGTTCGAGTATCCGTGTGACTTAGGGCTCTTTTTTAAATAATGCTGCAAATTCTTTGACAATTTACTTCACAGATAACCCTCGTACTGACCAAGGTCTTTAACGTTTATTTGCGCGCCAATGAAATTGATGAAGTGATTGAGGATCTCAATTACTATGAGGAAATCTTTAAATCAGATAACGATTTGACATTTGGCGGCTTGCAGCTGGCTGAGCATGAGCTGGAGAATGCGGAAGTTCAGCGCTGGCAGCGCTTTTGCTATCTGGCCGAGACGATCATGCTCATCAATATGACGGCCTTCATGTTGCTCTTCAATTTTGCAATTGGCGTACAGCCTCTGATGACCGGCCGAGTGCTGCCCTACCATGTGATCTTGCCCTTTGGCTGGCACCACGCCGTAGAGCATCCGCACTGGCATACGTTCATCTATGTCTGGCAGTATATCACCTCGCAGTTCAATCTATTGTCCATCTGCAACATTGATCTGCTGGGCATACACTCGTTTCTCCACACGGCTCTCAATCTGAAGATCGTATGCATTGAGTTGCGCAAGTTGGGTCAAGTTGGGCAGCTCGACGACGACCTGTTCCATGTGCAATTCCGCAAGATTGTTCAGTTCCATCAGCATATAATACGGTGAGTTTTTTTTTATTCCAATCGATTGATCCCATATGCTCTGCTTCTGCCCCCAAACAGAACTGTGCAGAAGAACAATCGGGTGTTCCGCGGCTCCTTCATAGCCCAGATGATAGCCAGCTTTGGCATGATTTCGATGTCCACCTTTGAGACCATGGCCGCCACTCAGGAACCCAAGGTGGCGGCCAAGTTCATCCTCTGCATGCTGGTCACATTCGTCCAGCTCTCCTACTGGTGTCTGGCTGGCACCCTGGTCTACAGTCAGGTTGGGCTTTTCCTCTCCGATATGGCGGATATAACATTGTTTAGTACTTCCTTCTCTTTTTTTGCAGTCCCTGGATGTGGCCCAGGCTGCGTTTGATCTCAAGGACTGGCACACCAAGTCTATTGTTATCCAGCGCAATATTCTGTTCATGATCAGGCGTTGCCAGAGACCGCTCGTCTATGCGGGCAGCCCATTTCCGCCCTTCACGCTGGCCACCTACTCTATCGTAAGACAATGGGGCCTATCCATCTAAAGCCTTTCGGTATGCAGCGCTTTCTTTCTCATCCACAGATACTCAAGCAGTGCTACAGAGTCTTGGCTTTGCTGCGCGAATCTATGTAGGATTTCATATAATTCCCCGGTTTTCATGTTCTGGTCAAAGTTTATCTCGAAGTTAAATAACCAAAATACAGAGTCTAGGCTTTGCTGCGCGAATCGATGTAGAATTCAATATAATGCCTATATATCTTAAGGTTTTCATGTTCTTGTCAAAGTTTATCTCGAAGTTAAATAACCAAATATATAAATATACAGAGGCTTGGCTTTGCTGCGTGAATCTATGTAGGATCTAATATAATGCCTATATAGCTTAAGGTTTTCATATTCTGGTCAAAGTTTATCTCGAAGTTAAATATCCAACTATATAAATATACAGAGGCTTGGCCTTGCTGCGTGAATCTATGTAGGATTTAATATAATGACCAGGTGTTCATGTTCTGGTCAAAGTTTAACTCATAGTTAAATAACCAAATAAACAAATATTGTGCACATTTCAGCAATTTTAACATGTAATTCGGCTCCTTTTCAACACTGTTCGCAGGAACTCTAAACGGCTGTCAACACTGCCCAACTATCTTGTCAAATATTTAACAGCTAGATGCACTGCTTGACAGGCAGTTTATACCAGTAAGAACTTCTGCGAACCGAAAGTCAAACTTGTCGACTTGTTAAAGCGCTTGTTAGCTGTGACAGGAGAATTAACGAGCATTTTAAATGACCGCCTGTCAATTTTTTTTTCGATTTGTAACAAATTGTTGTTAAATAATTTATTGCCAACTCGACGAGCTTCAATTGCAGCAACGCATTTGCTTGACGTGCCACGCCCGCGGCTCATTAAAGTTCAGTCGCGCCCACAAGCACACACCGCACACACGCACACGCAGACACACACGCACACCCTGGGCACACACCCAGCGACAGGTGGCAGCTGCAAAGCGCATAATATTTAAAATATTCTGCATTTGCTGATGACCGCTGGTCATGGTGGGTCCACGAATTGGAGCCAGCCTCGAACTTATTCAAACGTGAAGCGCATTCACATTCACAACCAACCCTTCACCCCTCCCCCTTCCTCTTCCCCCTTCCCCCGTGACGCGGGAGCGGCAAACGTTTAGCTAGAGCTTTGGGCCAGACATGGAGCAGCGCTTGCCCTTCACAGCTGGGAAAGTAGTTGAACCTTCTCTTCTTTTTGTTCGAATGGTGTTCATGAATTCGAATTCACTCGTATTCGTATTCGTTTGGGTATATTCGTATATTCGAGTTAATGCTACGCCCACAGGTGTTATTCCATGCACATTGGGCCAGAACGGGGGCCGTATCGAGGCAGAACCGTCGCATATACGCACTCACACCTGTACAGTAGTACCACAACCCCATGCTTAACACACCCAAGCGACAGGTGTGCGTGTGTGTGGCTATTGTCAACTCGGAGTTTTGGGCTTTGCCCGCCGCACTGATTAACATTTGAATTGAAATTCACATATTTAGAACTTTATGCTCGCTTTTGTTGTTGCTGTTGTTGTTGTTGTTGTCTCCACATCTAATTAATTCCTCTTCGAGGCCCATTGTTGCCATGGAGTTGCTGCCATGATTGGCACTGCTGCCCCCGCTAATGGTAATGGGATAATGGTATTGGGGTAATGTACCGCGATCCAATTGCAGCCACAGCCCAGCGAGAGACCTCTAAAGTCGTCGTGGTCAGCCAACGCGTTCAGTTTGTCGCAAATAATTCTAACGATCGGTCGGGTTTTTTAACACCGGAGTTATACAGTCGGCTCGATAAGTTGATTTACCAATTTTGAGTGCTTAGTGATATATGAAAATCAATTAAATACATTTAAATATCCTTTCTAAACGGTGCGTGCCTCTTCTCATTTAATAAAATATAAAAAAAAAATTAAATGACAATTTGATCAGCAAGGATTTGATTTTAAATATAATATAAATCAAGTCTGATCTCAGGATCAAATTTATGTTCCATATAAAGCTATGTTGGCTTAAATTTACAAAAGAAGAAACAATTACTTCAATCGAAGAAATTAAAAGTTCTTAAGTCAAGTGTGATTTATCAGTGAAATATGAATTAAAAATAATTTAAAAGTTTCTAATTGTAAAGGAAAATAAATATGAAAATTCTCAAATTAAGATGAAAATCGATCCCAAATGTTTTCAATTATAAAGGACTCATATGATCATATTAATTAAAAATATTAAGAAAAATATGAATTAAAAATAATTCAAAAGTTTTTAATTGTAAAGGAAAATAAATATGAAAACGCTCGAATTAAGATGAAAATTAAGATCACTCGAAGGAAAATCGATCCCAATTGTTTTCAATTATAAAGGACTCATATGATCATATTATTTAAAAATATTAAAAAAAAAACTTAAAAAATATGAAATATGAACTAAAAATAATTCAAAAGTTGTAAATTGTATTAAAATGAAATTTAAGATTAGTCGAAACCAAATGGACTCAAATGATGCCAGCTAAAATAATTTAAAATTATTCCGAATTATTTCAATATGAATCAAACAAAATATAAACACAAGAATTGGCAGACACTTCTGTGATTTCAGCATAAATTTGAAAAAGAAATATTTCACGAATTCTAAAAGATTCTTAAAACTCAACTACATATGCCTGATGATATTTGTAGTAAATGCTATTCCGTATATTATTTTATTTGCATTAAATAAATTCTCTTTCAAATATAATTTCATCATTGAAATGTCGCCCAACGAACACCCTTTGAGGTCAATGCGACAGCTTAGTGCGTTTTCCTTTTCAGAAAAATGGAAAATGAAAAACGAAAAAAAAAAAGAACAGAACTCGATTTGTATTGTGCTAATTCTAAGCATAAATAGATCCGAGCGTACAATAAGCCGGAAGCAACATCCGGAGTTGTGGATCGATATGAGCAGAGCTACACGTAGCATTGTTTGGCCACTCGTTTAATGATCCAATTTGGCGTTACGCATTGTGCACATTATGTAGCTGGACGCAGAAATATTTAGCTATTCATGTGGTATTATTTTTTTAAAAGTTCATGGGTTGGGGGTTGGCTGAGGGTGTGTGTGGTGAAATTTGCTGTCAGTATTGAGGTCGCGTATTTTTCACATTCATGTACTTCTAATTTTGTTAGTCCAATCTGATGATGTCTGATAAATGTGCCCATGTACTCATTACCCCTTATATGATACTATAGATATTTCTGGAACACGCGATAGTCAGCTAATAATGCCGCGTTAAACTTGGACAATTCATTGAGTCACAGAGAGAGCGCCACATGGAGCTGCGCTTAATATTGATGGCCACGCTGGCCAGTCTCAGCCTTAGCCAGAGCTACGGTAAGTCCATAGCAGCAGACTTATCCGAGTCCAGCTAAAGACCAGCTCCATTAACAGCTCAAACCACCTGCAAGAACGGACTGGGCCGCGTGCTATACGAGCGGCTGCCCAACCAGCAGCTGCAGGGCTACGATGATGATGTGGTGCGGGATACGGCGCCGCCGTTCCGCGTGCTGGAGAAGTGCCAGGATCTGTGCCTGCGGGATCGCACCGGCACCAACAATCTGGTGCGCACTTGCACCAGCTTTGATTTTCAGCCGGGCAGCCGGATCACCTCATTCGGCGGCACCTCCGAATACGAGGAGTCGCTCTGCTATCTCACCTCCGAACAGGCCGGGCCCGAGGGCATCGGCAGCCTGATGCTGGTGCCCAATAGCGTTCACTTCAACGAGATCTGTCTGACATGTAAGTGTGTGTGTGGGTGGGTGGCTGACACCTCCCAGCAAATGGCCACTCAAATCTTTTTCTCTCCCCACAATGCAGCCAGCCGCCCCGAGCGTGAGTGTCCCAGTCGACGTTATGTATTCGAGCGGCATCCGCGCAAGAAACTCAAGCTGCCCATCAGCGACATCAAGGAGGTGAGCGCGGGGAACGCAGCTGACACTCCACTTAAAGCTGCACTCTATTATACCCTGAACCCATTCAGAGTGGCTCTTGAAGCATTGTGCAAAGGCAGAAGCAGGCATTCCCAAACCAATTGAGTCTATTTATATTCTTGATCACGAAGACAAGCTGAGTCGACCCAACCATGTCCGCCTACGTTTAGATATCGGAAATTAAAATAACTGAAGGCTTTAAATTTCCTATAGATTATGCAGAAGGAGCTTGTAATTTTTTCATCTCGATATCTCCTTCTATTTTCATAGTAGCGATAAATATCGATTTTGAGAAATGCTTCTTTGAGCATAACTCGAACATTTTAAGAGCTAGATACTTTTTGCATAGCGCTGGTCTTAAGGTATCTCCTAGTCGGGCACTCCCGACTAAACCTACACTTTATTATACCCTGAATCCATTGAGAGTGGCTCTTGAAGCTTTGGGCAAAGGCATCTAACAGGCAGAAGCAGGCATTCCCAAACCAATTAAGTCCGTCTAGCCAAGTCCGTCTGTTCGCATCGATCTCGAAAACTAAAAAAACTAAAATCTTTAAATTTTGAATATATGTATTCTTCTTGATATCTCCTTCAATTCGCATAATATCGATAAATATCGATTTTGAGAAATGCTTCTCTCGAACATTTTAAGAGCTAGTTACTCTTTGTACGACCCATCCATTTCCCGCAACACCAACTGGGTTAAGGGTATCTCCTAGTCGTTCACTCCCGACTAAGTCTTGTCTTAACTGCATTGTTGTCGCAGATAACGGCCGCCAATCGCTCGGACTGCGAGGACAAGTGCCTGAATGAGTTCTCGTTTGTGTGTCGCTCGGCGAACTTTGATTCCACGATGCGCTCCTGCACGCTGAGCAGATTTACGCGACGCACGCATCCGGAACTGATGGAGGACGACCCCAATTCGGACTATCTGGAGAATACGTGCTTAAATGGCAAGCCAACAATTAAGCATTTTAATGGCTAGAAAGAAGAAACACTTAACTTTTCAAATTCACAGCTGAACGTCGCTGCGATGGCCTGGCCGTTTTTGTCAAGGAGGAGAACAAGCGCCTGGGCGGTCCCTTTGAGGTGGACATCTTCAACAATATGACGCTGGAGGAGTGCCAGACCATGTGCCTGCGCGCCGAGAAGTAAAAACAAAGTGCACACGATATTTGTATGCATTAGGCTAATCATTAATTATTCCAGATACTTTTGCCGTTCGGTGGAGTTTGATGATCAAAGCAAACAGTGCATCTTGTCCGAGGAGGATTCCATTTCTCAGAAGGATGACATCAGCATCAGCTCCAGCCCCACACATCATTTTTATGATCTTGTGTGCCTCGATAATCGTAAGTGGCTACCGCAAGTTAGCGCCTAGCTCAAAGACAGACAGGGACGGACAGGGACGGACTCGGTCAGATCTGGACAGACCTGGACAGACTCGGACGGACTCGGACTCAGACTGAGCTAGGCTAGACTGTAGCAGAGGCAACGCGTTAAGTGCACCATTAAACTGGGACTCATAAAGCGACGGCAACGGTTGCTTCTGCCAGTCGATGTCTATGTCTATTTTATGCCATTTGCCATTTGCTGTAGCTGTAGCTGTGTATTCCCGTTGCAGAACGAGCCACCGATTATCCAGATAACTCGGTTACCTCACACCTCTTCTCGAGCGGCCGTCGGCCAGATACAGCATTCCAGCGTTACCGCAACTCGCGTCTGGGCGGCGAGTTTCACTCAGAGATCACGGGCCGTTCGCTGAGCGAGTGCCTGGACGAGTGCCTGCGCCAGACCAGCTTCCAGTGCAGGTGTGTGTCTTGTCTTTGATTTCCTGTTTTCTCTCCCTCTACCTCTTCTCTTCCTCCCACTCACAACTGTGCTGTGCTCTGTTTCGTACAAATTGCAGGTCTGCGGTTTATAGCGATCGTTTTCGTACTTGTCGCCTCAGTCGGTACAATCAAAAGGATGGCATGCGCATCATATACGATGCTGATTACGATTACTATGAGAATCTTATGTGTAAGTGCTTGCTCCCTCTCTGCTGCTAATGAAGTGGTTCCTAATCCCCCAACTCCTCCTTCTCCATTTGCTGCCTGTCTTGCAGTAAACGTTGTGGGCGGCGGCGGCAGCGGCAGCGGCGGCGGCGGCGGCGCCGATAGCGATGCTGGCCACGGTGGCCACGGTGGCCACGGTGGCCACGGTGGCAACGAGGCCAAGCGACCCGGCGATCAGTCTGGCAGCAACTGGAGACAGCCTAACAAGCATGACGATCGCTACGGATCAGGGTCAGCCGCTGGTGGTTCGGGCTCTCATGCTGCTGGTGCTGGTGGCAGCAACAGGCTGCCACCTGGCGAGGGCATTGATTATGGCAGGCCATATGATCGCTATCCCGACTTTGCAGCCAATGAATATGGTAGATCATTGCGATGAATTCACTTTTATGTTACCTTAAACATCTTATACAGCAGATCGTTATCCCTACGGCGATCGCGAACGTGATCGCGACCGTGATCGTGATCGCGATCGCGAGCGATACCCACCCGATCGTTATGGCGGCTCTCGTTATCCGGGCAGCGATGGCCTCGGCATGGGCATGGGCATGGGCTTGGGCTATGGTCGACCCTACGAACGCTATCCCGATGATTATGGTAAGTCCGCAATTTGTACAGCCCATAACCATTAATATCACCACGCTGTGCCTTATCACTGATCCTTACTGACAACTAATTTACTAACCCCAATGCAACGCGGCGAATTCTTAGATCGCTACCCAGTGGGAGGCAGTGGCGACCGAGATCGCGATCGCGATCGGGATCGTGATCGTGATCGCGAGCGGGATCGCTACCCGGAACGCTATCCGCACGATCGCTATGGAGACAGACGCTATCCGGAGCGGGAGCGGGATCGTGATCGTGATCGGCTGCCTTATCGCCCGCTACCTTATCCAGGCATTAATGATAACACGCTGCCCAGCGATCTGCCCCATACGAGACCCTTTCCCCCCGACGACGATGCGCCCTACAGGCCCTATGGGTATGGTGGAGGCGGTCGATATGGCGACAATCGCTATGACAGCCGCTATCCGGCACGCTATCCGCCGGGTCGTGATCCTGTGGGCGGTTATACGGGCCGAGATGCGCCCGATAGCATATTTCCGGACAGACGCTATCGACCCTCGTCCATGGACTCGTCACGCTATCCCTATGTGCCTGACTCTCGCGGGCCACCCGGACGCTATGATGATATTGTGCACAGCGCCAGGCGACCGGAACCGGATTCCGCCAAACGCTATCCGCCCGCTCCCCTGGCGCCCACGGGCAGCGCCAGCAAGTACGCCTCGACCCCGAATCGCTTTCCGGTGGGCAGCGATCGCTATCCCATCGACATCTACAAGTACGGTAATCGCCTCGGCCCCAGTGATTTGGGCAGACGTCCCGGTAAGTAGCACACCGACTAACCGACTACCAGCTTAATACGACTACCAACATATCTGATTGTCAGGTAAAGAATGTGATCCACTTTTAAAGACCAGGATGAGCAGCTGGTATTATATATCTGATCGCATTAAGCGAACTTTCTAGTTACGAGTTACTTCTTGAGCTAGTTTTGTAGATCTTAAATAAAGAATTACTAGGAAATAATGCTTGAATTATTATTATTTTTCCTTTCAATATTACTATATAATTTGATGGAAGCTCATTTATGAGTTCGAAGAATTGATTATACAATAAATAGTCTTGAGGTTCTCTACCAGAAATTGCACTGAGAGCTTATAATTTGTATTTTTCCATATGCAGTACAAAATTCTAGTTATAGAGCTTTTAATTTTCCACAATGCAATTGCATACTTTTAGTAACTCGATCTTTGACTTCAATTCATTTGCGAGCAGCAGAATAGTTTTAGGAATTTATGATAATTACTATATATATATATAAATAAATTTTTTACCCCGCTCAGGTTTGGAACGCCCGCCGTCCTACTACGATTACGACTACGAGGAACGCTATGGCGATCGCTTTGCGCCGGGGCCCTACGATCGCGAGTACGACGGTCCGCCCGCTCGCCGCCCGCCTCCGGGGCGCTATGACACGCCCTTTAATCGGCCCTATGCTGCAGGTGGCGGTGGCCTTGATGATCGTCCCATACCGCTGCCGGGTCTGGGCCTATCGCATCCGCCCACTCCGTATGCTGGTGGCGGTGGCGGATCGCATGTGGGCGTGGCTATTGGGGCTGGTCCACCGCGTCCGCCGATCACGCGCTGCGAGGAGAGCGACAATTTCAAGCAGATCGCGGCTCGTCACAAAATGCGACGTCATTTCGTGAGACGGGCACTGATCGTGCCCAGCCTGATACAGTGCGAACGGGAATGCATCGAGAGCCGCGACTTTGTCTGCCGCAGCTTCAACTACAGGTAAGTGCACTGAGCAGAGAAGCAGGAGGGGAGGGGGCAGCTATCGCAATGGCAATCGTCTCTATTCAATTTGCAGAGACACCGCCTCCAGCTATGACGATCGCGATCGGGAGCGGGATCGGGAACGTGAACGCGAGTCGCCCAACTGCGAGCTGAGCGACAGAGATTCGCGCGAGCTGGACATACACGATCCGGGCTCGTTTGACGCCTCCAACTATGACTTCTATGAGCGCAGCATTGGACGCAGCAGCGACGGCGAGTGCATGGATGGTAAATAATCTAGCTGGCTGTCTGAATCCCAATTGAGACTGAGACTAATTGCACCAATTGCAGTGACGCAGACGTGCAACGAGGAGGGCATGGAGTTCACCATACGGACGCCGGAGGGCTTTCTCGGACGCATCTACACATACGGCTTCTACGATCGCTGCTTCTTCCGCGGCAACGGCGGCACCGTCAACGTGCTCCGAATCAGCGGACCCCAGGGCTATCCCGACTGCGGCACACAGCGCGTAAGCAGACGGCAGACAAAGTAGACACAGCATTTATCACGTCTCTTGATCTCTCTGTGATCTTATCTTGCAGTACGGCGACACGCTGACTAATATCGTGGTCGTGCAGTTTTCGGACAATGTACAAACAAGTCGCGATAAGCGATACAATCTCACCTGCATCTTTCGTGGCCCCGGCGAAGCGGTCGTCAGCTCTGGCTACATCGGCGCGGGGTAATCATCATCATCACCATCATCATCGTCGTCATCATTGTTGATGATTAATGCTTCTGTACTCTGTTTTCGCAGCTCGGGCAGCCCCATACCCATCGAGTATTTGCCGGCCGAGAACACGCTCAGCTCCAAGGTGCGTCTGAGCATTCTGTATCAGGGCAGACCGACGACCACCATAGCCGTTGGTGATCCGTTGACGTTCCGCCTGGAGGCGCAGGATGGCTACAACCACGTGACGGACATCTTTGCCACCAATGTGGTGGCCAGGGATCCCTACTCCGGACGCAGTATACAGCTTATAGATCGCTTTGGGTAAGTCTCTATGAATGTCATTCAATTATGCCTTGACTCTGGCCTGCCTCTAGCTGCCCGGTGGATCCGTATGTGTTCCCAGAGCTGGACAAGCTACGCGATGGCGACACACTGGAGGCACGCTTCAATGCCTTTAAGATACCCGAATCCAATTTCTTGGTGTTTGAGGCCACGGTGCGCTCCTGCCGCGAAGGCTGCCAGCCGGCCTATTGTCCCGGTCCCGCCGGGCGCCAGGAGCCCTCCTTTGGCCGCCGGCGACGCAGCCTAAACATAACCGACATACCCGAGCCACAGGCACTCGAGGGCGAGCTGGACCCGCAGGAGATTACGGTGGTCAACAGCACGACAGTCAGTGCGACGATGGGTGGGGAACAGTTCAATGCCACGCAGGATCGCGAGAAGCCCAAGGAGAATGAGGAGCCCGAGCAAGTGCGCGAAATGATCGAGGTGCGTGTAAACAAACTGACAAAGCCAAGATCCATTAAGTAAAGGATTTGTTCTCCAGGTATTTGAGACGCGCGAGGAAATCGAAAAGGAATCGTATCCACGCAAACTGGTCGCACCCGTGGAAACTGTGTGCATGACGCCCGCCGAGTATCACGGATTAATTACAGCTATTATTCTGCTGATGATCCTGCTCTTTAGCATTACCCTGGTGGCAGGACTCGGCTACAGGTGAGCTTATCTGGGTGCACTTAGAGAAAACACTAAGTATTTTTTAGTCAAGCTGAAAGAATACTTAAAAATATCACTTTAAACTTCCTTGGAGAACATTATATCAGGTCAAATTTTAAATTATCAATTTTTCAGACTTAGTTTAAGAATATTTAAATACCAAATTTGAAGCAGCAAACGTAATGAATTTTTCTCTGAGTGTAACCGACATCTATTTCAAATACAAGATTTTTTGAACAGTCAAGTTTTAAGTTAAGAATTGTTTATGATTTTTAAAGAATATTCAATAAGAATATTTAAAGAAGCAAACGTTATGAATTTGTTATCAATTTTTCTTTGAGTGTAACTGACATCTACTCCACATTCATGATTTTTTTAACAGTCAAATTTTAAATTAAGAATTTTGCAGACTTAGTTTAAGAATATTCAAATAACGATATATAAAGAAGAAAACGTTATGAATTTTTCTCAGAGTGTAACTGACAAATTCAAGCTTTTTTTTTACAGTCTATTTTTAGATTAAGAATTGCTTATGCTTAGTTTAAGAATATTCAAATACCAAATTTGAACACTCAATTCATAAACTAAGAATTGTTTATACTTCGATAAGGAAATTTGAAGAAGCAAACGTTATAAATTGGATTTCAATTTTTCTCTGAGTGTAACTGACATCTATTTCTGCCGCCCTTTGCAGACGCTACTGGAAATCCATGTCGAAGAATCGTCTGGTGGATCGCCACTCGCCCATCCACTCGCTGGGCCACTCGCACTCCTCGATGCGCACCCACGAGCGCTTCTCCGAGATCGGGCACATGCCCAATGCAGCAGGAGTAGGGGGAGGAGTAGGAGGAGTTGGTGCTGGCAGCAATCGGAGCACATCTAATCGCGCCTCGAACGCTTTTCGCACCAACATGTCCATGTTTGGCGGCTCATTACACAAGACTTTTGCCACAGGGTAAGCAGATCGATCCAGTTCGGGTTTGAGTCTGAAGACCGGTCCACTTAATTTTTAATCTATTGACAGCAATCTGGCGCGCATGTGCCAGCTGCCGGTTATAAATCCCATACGCACGGCCGGCAACAACAGCAACAGCAATCACCAGTTCGAGGATCCAAGCGAGCCCATCTACACCGATCCGTCGCTCTTCGAGCGCTCCAGGTGAACAATTTAATTGCATAATTAAGCGCCGACTAACGCCTAATCCTCCTCGGCTCTAGGTACCCGTCTGCCATTAGAATCGTACGCAATTGTAAATATATATATTTTTTCGGAATTTTTTTATTATTCTCTATTTGTGGGTCCGTTTCTAATCGAATGAGCACTAGAGTGGCCGGCACAGGCAGAGCTGCACCTTGTTGCAAATGCCGTCACGTCCGCCGGCCATTTGGCATCTGGTGGAGCACCAGTCGCCCTTCAGGGCGCAGACGCCCGTAAAGGTCGGCAGATCGCCAACTGCAACTGTTAATCCATTAATTAGCTAATCAATTGCACTTTTATCTGGGACTTACATGCCTGCCCCTGCACTAGCCAGCAGCAGATTAACCATAAAGCCAGAGTCAAGTATTTCATATTAACAAGCACGAATCTCGCCACAGACAGCCACAGACTGAAGCCCCGCTCGGGCTCTCGCTGGCATGTGCTCCGATAAGGCTTATCAGCCTCACATTTTGTACACTTTTGTACGCGCATCTAACACGATGAGCGCTTGTCTCCATAAACAACCGACACATATATTTATTAGATTGCTTTCAATATTCTATTCTGATTAATATTTTCCATTTCCATTTCCTCTCGCAGATCGCTGCGAAGTCTGACCATGGTCGCCGAGTCCGAAGATAATCAAGAGGTCTAAAACGCAAATGCACAAGGATATAATTTGCTCGTCTTCTTGTGATTAGTTGTAAATAACCAAGCGAAGCTGTTCGACAACATTTCAGCCTAAATATGGATACATAAAATGGAACTTTCTATCGGCCCAATAAAGGAAAGTCCAGCACGTGCATTCGGTTACCTCAGGCATACAAAAGGAAAAATGTTTGAGGCTCAATATCTAACTGATATCCACATTAGACGTAAGCCCTTAAATCGAAGACAATCTATTAATATTAACAGCAAGAACCAAAAAATTCATAGCAAAACATATGCAAAATGTCAAACACACGTATTTCTACATAACTAAGATACATATATACATATATATATATATATTAATAAATGCAATAAAACTTAAATTTATCCATACAACAATTTGTCTTTGTTTATTTTCTCAAGTCCTAACCTGAAACCTAAATTGCTTAGAACTTAACTTTTATCTATAAGAAACGACTCTATAATCCATGAGAGCCGTTTGAATGGTTAATCGAATATTTAACTAGATCGATAAATATCGATAGCATAACTCAAAGATCGATTGTATAGATTGGGAAAGCTTATTTCCGAAGCGCGGGATTGGGGTCGAACCACTTCGAACCCGGATAAAGTTCTATCTCAGCCAAAACTTAAACAAAACCAAAAAAATATATTTATATATTTATATTTTTAGGCCCTGATTTTCGAACCACTTCGAACCCGGATAATTTTCTATCCCAGCCAAAACTTTAAACAATCCAAAAAATAAATATTTATATATTTATATTTTTAAGCCCTGATTTTCGAACCACTTCGAACCCGGATAAAGCTCTATCTCAGCCAAAACTTTAAACAATCCAAAAAATAAATATTTATATATTTATATTTTTAAGCCCTGATTTTCGAACCACTTCGAACCCGGATAAAGCTCTATCTCAGCCAAAACTTTAGCCCATCCAAAAAATGAATATTTATATAGTTATATTTTGGGGCCCCTAATGTTTAGGCAGGAATTTCAGCTCTCAGGCAGATTGTTTGCTGGAACGTGACTGCGTTGGGTTCTGCGACAAGAAGGGTTTATGTAAGAGCCCTTTTTTGTGTAAGTGCACATTCATGCTTTTTTTTTTATTTCTATGCGTATTGGGCGCAATCGGCACGGGGTTTTTTCAGCGTCTAGCCGAAAATTCGTGCCGCTTTGGGCAAAGCTGTGAACGTGTTAAAAGACGCACCAGCACGAAATATTTGCTAGGCGTAATTCTCGTAACTCTCGGCTACGTGTAAATATTAAAAACTAAAATAAACAATTACTAACGAGCCGCTTAAAGATTGCCCATGACACTTACATCGGGTTACATGAATGTTCTTCAGCTATCCTACCCAATATCTTCGGTCAATAATATATATTATTATTAACTATGGCTTATAATCGGATCGATATAGATCGAGAGACAATTAAAACAATGCCAACGGCATGCCAGATTTATCGGGCCCAGTTGGGTTTTTTATCTGGCCGCATGGAAGCATTTTGCTTAATCATTGGACTTATTCTTGTTCCGGCATCGCCAAGCGCAGCGGCATCGATCACGTTCACAAATTAAAACAATAACAAGCGAGAACGTGAAGATTATGCGCAACCGACTGCGCAATGCTCTGTTCGAGCTGTAATCAGAGTGTAAAAATATGTCGGGAAGGGTCTTGGTAACTCCAAGATGTAACCCGGACACTGTGCCAAACAGACAGGAGTAGGGATGGACGGACAGATGCGTGAACGGACGGATGGACGGATAGTTGGATGGACTGACGGATCAATGAAGGAGCAGAAGGATGAATGGATAAACAAACGGGCAGATGAAATGACGGACGGATCCACAAGAGGTCAAATGGATGGATGGACAGACAGATGGGCGGACGGACTGTAAGATGGATGAACGCATAGATAAATGGACGGACGGATCGACGGAGGAGCAGAAGGATGAATCGATAGACAAACGGACAGATGAAAGGACGCACGGATCGACGAAAGAACAGATGGATGGATGGATGGTTGGGCGGATAGATGGACAACTGGACGGACGGACTGATGGACTGACGGATCGACGCAGAGGCAGAAGGGTGCACGGATAAACGGATAGACAAACGGGCAGATGAAAGGATGGGCGAATATACAAAAGGACAAATGGATGGATGGATGGACGGACAGATGGAGAAACTGACGGACGGACAGATGGAAGAGCGGACGGACAGATGGAAGAACGAACGGACAGATGGTTGAACGGACGGAAGGATGGTTGAACGGATGGATCAACTTAAGATAGAGGAACACGCGTTCGTACAGTAAGATGCTCGTTGCAAATAACAAATGTACCCCTTTTCTCAGAATAAACAAAGTATAATTACTCATGCTATGCGCGCTGTGGCAGAAAAAGAAAGCGTCGAGCAAATTGCCGCAACGGAAGCCAAAGCCAGCGGCAAGTGCCATCTCACTCTGGGCCATTAGTACGGGTCTTGGGTCATGTATTTTGGGGTGTTGCGCTGTGACCGCTGCAGCTTTTGCAGCTTCTCTTCCGGTGTCACAACGCACGTGGCGTGCGCTCATGAATTGGCTTAGACGAAGTGAGCAAATGATTTTGTTGTTTTTTTTTCTTTTTTATTACAGCGACTGCGACAGCAACTGCAGCGGCGACTGCGTCTAGTTCTTATACATAAATCACGCATCAGCACAATTGGCATTTCAATTATGCAACATTCTTGGAGCCAAGAAAGTGCATTTATACGCCGCGTACCCGCCGTAAACGACAAGTAAGAAACGAAGCGCGAACGCGATCGCAGCAAAGGACACACACGCCTAAGACACGGGCCAGAAAGTGCGTCAAGCCAAGTGCCTAACTAATGTGCTCCCAAACAAAGTGAAACCGAAACCGAACCCGAAACCGAGTGCCCAAATCAAATAAAAATATATATACAGATCGATTGATAAATTGCGTGACCCTCAAGTGTCTAGGTGTCTAGTGGGGATTAGGATGACGAACTGCATCTGGCTGCTGGCGCTTGTGGTCGCCATTAATGCCCGCTCGCTGCACGTGCCGCATGGATACGGAGGTGGCTTGCCACCGCCGCCGCCCCCTCCACCCCATCTGCTGCCCAATCCCTACTATGCACAGCCGTACGGCTACGCAGCTGCGGCGGCCTACGGCTATGGCTATCAGCCGCAGCCGCAACCGATCATCTACAGTCCGCCCGGCAGCTACTATGACAGAATGTACGGCATACGCAAGCCCCTGCCCGGCGGTGGCAATCCCGTAGCTGTGGACTATGTAGGTTTACAAAATCTAAACGAGTTCAGAGAGTTCATTTTTGTTTTTCCTTTCTCAAGAACAATCGCTGCTCGAGGAATTACGTGGGCATCAAGCCGCATCCGGATCAGCAGCAATACTATTACGTTTGCCGGCCCAACTGTGTGATCTTCAGCAAATGCCCCAACTTGGAGGTAAGCCACAGCTCAAGCTCAAGCCAATGGTGTACTTTACGGCCTTTTCGCCCGCCCAGAAATTCAGTTCCAGCACGGGTCGTTGCGTGGAGCGCGTGCATCCCGACTATCCGCCCATTTGCCAGAAGGAGGGTCGTTTCCCCTACCACCACGACTGCAAGATCTACTACAAATGCGATGAGCATTTGATGCCGCATTTGTACAGCTGCCCCTCGGGCACCATATTCTCACCACTGGAAAGCAAATGCATATCCGGCGATGAGTGTCCTTCGACGGAGATCTCCAACAGCGGCAGCTATATGCCAGAGAACTGTGAGCTCAAGTTTCCCGAGTGCACGGCGGAGGGCACCTTTAGATCGCCCAAGGACTGCGCCTTGTACTACACCTGCAAGCTGCAGGCCAGCGGAAACTATCTGCAAACGCGTTTCAAGTAGGTCACCGAACACGGAACTAAGATCCATTCAAACTAACAAATTTCCTTCCATAGATGTCCTGGCAGCAACAGCTTCGATCAGAAACGCAAAATGTGCCGACCGCATCGTGAAGTCGACTGCCACGCCTACTTGCCCATCGCAGACCTGGCCTACGCTCCAATGACACCCTTCTATCCGTATGTCTCCGAGGCGGACTTTGACACAGCGCCAGAGGAAAAGGTACCAGAGCAGCCAGAAGCCACCGCTTTGACCACGGACTCTAAAGTGGGCAGCATTCGAGAGCCTGAAGAAACCGTTGTTGTTATACTGCCCAAGACGACAACGACAACAACAGTTGCGACTCCTCCCAAAAATCGAGACTATCCGTCTTATCCTTCGTATCCTTCTTACCCCTCGTATCCTTCCTACCCCACCTATAACTATGACGCCCCGCAGTTCGACTCTGAAGCGCTTGTCAAGGAGAATCAAGAGCTGGAACCACCTGTAAATATATTTATTTTACCAACAACTCCGAAATATTCATATAATAAGCACTCCTATTCCGCCTATCAGTCAACCGAATCTTCCGAAGTTCCGACCACAACTCCGAGCCCAACTGTCACAAGTACAAAAGCCCCGACGGCGGCACATGCACCTGCCTTCAAAACTTTGTTGCAGGAAAAAATTGTTATACTACCACCGAAATGTCAAACCACCGGCAAACCGACCACTGAGGCACCCATTACCACCAGCCTCAAGACGACTGCAGCTACCAGGTCAACAGCAACTAGCAATCCCACAACAACTGCAAAACCAACAACTACGACTCTGAAGCCTACAACATCTACAGACACAACGGCTAGACCAACAACAACACCCAAGGCAACAACAGCTAGCACTCCCACAACTCCGAAACTAGCCACTACAACTCGTCAGCCAACAACAACAAGCACACCGAAAGTAACAGCAAGTAGACCAACAACAACGACTCCCAAGCCAACAACAACTAGAGCCCAAACAACTCTAAAAACAACCATTACAACTAAGCCAACAACAACTAAGTTACCTACAACAACTCCGAAAGTAACAACTACTGAACAGACTTCAACAACTCCCAAGCCAACAACAACTAGAGCCCCAACAACTCTAAAAACAACCATTACAACTAAGCCAACAACAACTAGATTACCTACAACAACTCCGAAAATAACAACTTCTGGACCAATTTCAACAACATCTAAACCAACAACTGCTAGGACACCCACAACCCTAAAAACAACCATTACAACTAAGCCAACAACAACTAAATTACCTACAACAACTCCGAAAATAACAACTTCTGGACCAATTTCAACAACTTCTAAACCAACAACAACTAGGACACCCACAACCCTAAAAACAACCATAACAAGTAAACCCACAACAACTAAATTATCTACAAATCCGACAGTAACAACCACTAGAGCAACTCCTAAACCAACAACAACTAGAGGCCCCACAACTCTGATAACAACTAATTCAACTAAGCCAACAACAACTAAATTAACTACTAGACCAAGCACGATAACAACTTCTAAGCTGACGACAACTAACACGGCAACATCGACTCCAAAACCATCCACTTTAACTCCTAAACCAACAACAACAACCAGCCCTCCAAGAACGACAACTACCATAACAACTGCCAAACCAACCACATCTGGCACACATTCAACAACATTTAAGCCAATAACTTCAACTACCAAGCCAACAACAACTAGCACTCCCACAACAATATCTAGCACCCCCACGACTCCGAAGCCAACCACAACCCCCAGGCTTACAACTAGCTCGCCGACAACAGCTACCCCTAAGCCCACAACAACAGCTGGACAAACAGCAACAAGCACTCCAACAACATCAAAAACTCCTAATCCAACAACTAGCAGCCCCTCAACGACTCCGAAACCAAGCACTACAACTCCTAAACCAACTTCTGGCACCCCCACGACTCCGAAACCAATCACTACAACTCCTAAATCAACCACTATGACATCCACAACCACTCCGAACCCAACCACAACCCCCAAACCGACAACAACTAACGGCCCGACAACAGCAACCGCTAAGCCAACAACTTCTGGACAAACGGCCACTAGCACTCCAACAACTCCTAAACCAACAACAAATAACCCTACAACGACTCTGAAACCAGCCACGACAACTCCTCAACCAACATCTGGCAGCCCCACGACTTCGAAACCAACCACTTCAACTCCTAAACCATCATCTGGCACCTCCACGACTCCGAAACCAGCCACTTCCACTCCTAAACCAACATCTGGCACCCCCACGACTTCGAAACCAACCACGTCAACTCGTAAACCAACATCTGGCACCCCCACGACTCCGAAACCAGCCACTTCCACTCCTAAACCATCATCTGGCACCCTTTCGACTTCGAAACCAGTCACTACAACTCCTAAGCCAACCACTGTGACATCCACAACCACTCCGAAGCCAAACACAACCTCCAAGCCAACAACAACTTCTGGACAAACGGCCACAAGCACTCCAACAACTCCTAAACCAACAACTAATAACCCCACAACGACTCCGAAACCAGCCACTACAACTCCTCAACCAACATCTGACAGCCCCACGCCTTCGAAACCAACCACTTCAACTCCTAAACCAACATCTGGCACCCCCACGACTCCTAAACCAGCCACTTCCACTCCTAAACCAACATCTGGTACCCTTTCGACTTCGAAACCAGTCACTACAACTCCTAAGCCAACCACTGTGACATCCACAACCACTCCGAAGCCAACCACAACGTCCAAGCCAACATCAACTAGCGCTCCGATAACAGCAACGCCTAAGCCAACAACAACTTCTGGACAAACAACAACAAGCACTGCAAAAACATCAACAACTCCTAAACCAACAACTAGAAGCCCCACAACGACTCTGAAACCGGCCACTACAACTCTTAAACCAACCTCTAATACCCCCACTACTCCGAAACCAACCACTTCAACTCCTAAACCAACCTCTGGCACCTCCACGACTCCGAAACCAGCCAGTACAACTACAAAACCATCCTCTGGCAACCCCACGACTCCGAAACCAACTACTACAACTCCTAAACCAACAACTAATAGCCCCACAACGACTCCGAAACCAGCCACAACTCCTACGCTAACCTCTGATGCCCCCACGACTCCGAAACCAGCCACTACAACTCCTAAGCCAACATCTGGCACCCCCACGACTCCGAAACCAGCAACTACAACTCCTAAACCATCCTCTGGCACCCCCACGACTCCGAAACCAACCACTACAACTCCTAAACCAACCTCTGGCACGCCCACGACTCCGAGACCAACCACCATAACTCCGAAGCCAACAACAACAACACGCACAACAGCTTCAATAGCGACAACGGCCAAACCAACCACCCAGCCGCCAACATTAAGCACAACGACAATACCTGGCCAGGAGACCACCGTGGCAACGACAACCAGCACCAAGCTGCCACCTTGCGCAACTGAAGGTAAGTCCTAAAAATATAAATATAGCATAGTACACTAGCAGCTCTTCGTGAGCTGCTCACACTAAATGAAACACTCAACCACACCCAACCCCAACTGCTTTACAGATTCAAACACATGCACACCACAACAACAACAACAACAACAACAACAACTCAACAACAGCAAAAACACTGAAAGCGAAACACAATTTGCCATAAACAAATCGAGCAGAAATCTATTGCTTGGAGAAAGTGAGCCACAATCCTCGCTGCTGTCACAAAATTTAGTTTCCAGCGAGATTAGCCCAGATTATATGAACGATGAGGCCGCGCCGGAAGAGGAGGGGCATGTTGATAGCACCACAGCCAAGTGGACAACGGAGCGGCCCCTAAAGAAACCCTCAACAATGTCCAGCTTGGCCGCGGCACACATACTCGAAAAGCTATTCAAGGTGATATCGACAACAACCGCAGCGCCCATAACCAGAGTCACCTTTGCCCAAATGGCCAGGCACAATCTGGCCACATCCAAGCCATTCATAGCCGAATCGCTGAGGCAGTCCATCAAGCAGTTGGCGGCGAACAAAGGCGAACCAACAAAGCCAACAAATTCCAGCAAAGATACCGAAGATTCCGAGTACTACGATAGCGAGTATGATACGGATGAGCTGGAGAATGTGCTCGATAAAGATAATCTCAAGAATGCGAAGCTATCTGTGGGCAAGACGCCAACAATCGCTACAACAACAACGACTATGATGCCGACAACTGGCACAAGCTCAGTTGAGAGCACAACCAGACCCATGCCCATTCGCCCAGAGAGCCCAAATGCTGTGATGGATCTGCTGGAAACCAGCTCCAGCGTGCCTGTGCCGGCCATAGTCAATGCCAGCATCTCCAAGGCAAATTTGACTGGCGATGCAGACTACTCCGACAACTATGTGGATTCGGACTATGCCAATGATGAGCCTGTAACTGAGCACGAGGAGACTAAGCTAGATCTAAATGCCCACAAGAACGCGCTTATCCAACTGCTGAAGCAAAAGCTAATCCTGGCAAGCACTACCACAGCGCCCAGCAGCACCACCTCGACGCCCGACTTGGCCACCGATGAGCCCGCTGCAGCTAATGAAATTCCAGTAACGACCCCAGACGTAAGTGCGCCAAAAAGCTTATTGATGAGTCTGCTGAGGCAGAAGCTAAGCCGCATGGCGCTGCTCAAAAAGGCCACAGAGCAAATGGCAACAAGCAGCACCTCAGCACCCGCAAGGAGTACAACTGAAGCCAGCACAACGAGGAGCACAACGACCAGCAGCTTAAGTGCAAACGGTAGCAGCAGCTCGGAATACTATGATGATGAGGATTACGACTATGTTAACGATGCGGAGGCCACGAGCGCTGGCACCAACACAGCGGCAGCAATTAATCAGGATGCACTTAGGCCAGCAACAGCCAAGCGGCACTCCATACACCCATCGCATAGTTTGCACGCACAGAAGCCGGACGAAGCGTCGGCCCAGGTAAGCCGCGACGGGTTAACGAGCGAGGCCAAGACGCGACAAGTAGAAAGATTTGCATTTAAGACACAAAGTGTCCCGCTGCCGGAAGCCGCATTTCTTAGGCAATCGGCCAATGAGGTTAGCGAAAGATCAAAGCATAAATCAAAGAGTGAGGCAGACGACACCAAGACACGCACAAAAAATACACGCAGAGAAATACAACAGTCGCTACCAAACAACAGCACAATAAAACCAACTACAACAACAACAACAACAAGCACAACAATTGCTCCAACAAGCAACACACAGTCAAGAGCAGCTGCAGCAGCCACACGCCAAGAGATCCTCACGGTTAACAGGAAGCCGTGGCTGCTGCAATCCCAGAATCAAAGCGTACACCTAGCGCCACTACAAATGGCCAGCCATAACCCAGTGACTCATGCAAATCGTTCATTATTAGAGTATACGACAGACGACTACTCTGCAGACACGGAGAAGGTGCCCGAACTCATACTGAAGGTATATGAGCCCATCGATGTGAAGGTCGTCTTCTGTCCCAGAAATTGCGATGAACAACACGATCATAAATATGGTAAGCACTTAAAATATATATAATAACTAAATGATTGACATAATATTTATATGAAATCTGTTTTACGCACTCACCAGACCCAGCTGATAATTATAAGTCGAATTGTACGAGCGGTTGTGATACGCCCAATCCTAAAACCCATCACAGCGTAGATTTATGGTGGAAGCCGCTTAAGCTCAGCGACACGGCTGGTTTCCAGACAATAACATAGATAGTTGAAGTACTTAATATGGCTATACAACATTAACTACATATTAAACTAAAGCTATATGCAAATATAGACATATATACATATATGTATTCGTGTACACTTTAATAAACATTATGAATAAATTACAACTTTCGTTTTAATTTAACTTAGCAAAAGTATACTAGGTATACCCAGACAAAAGAATCCCTTTCTCAAAAAAAATATATATATATTATAAATTCTATTAAACTTTTAACTTAAAATCAAACTGAATGTTGGTCAATTAAAGTTCATGACTAGCACAGATGGAAAGTGTGGCTTAAACGACTTTTCAAATGCCATGGTGGGTTTACGACCAAACGGACAACTTAAAAAATGTTTTGCATTAACTTAAGGCCTAATGATTAATCTATAATCAACTTAAATTCAAATCTAATCTATACACTATATACAAGCGACCCTTTTAATACTGAACGCCCGCCTAATCGTCAAAGAATAGTATTTCTAATATTCTTTTCTGCACATTTTTTCGACGATCCTTGTTCATTTTAAGCAACTCCGTTGTGACCAGCTCACCCAGCAGATGCTCCGAGGAGCGCTGTATGCTGGGCGGATTTGGAGGCGTTTGGAATTTGCCAAAGTTGGAGGCATGCGAAGAGCCTGCTTGCTGGGGCAGCTGCTGGTAAAGCTGGAAGAGGAAGTCCGTATTCGATGGAAACATGTTTTGATGTTGTTGTTGCTGTTGTTGTTGTTGTTGTTGCTGCTGCTGTTGTTGCTGCTGCTGCTGTTGTTGCTGCTGCTGGTGGAGCTGCTGATTATTGTTATTGCTGTTGTTGCCATTGACAATTCCATTTGCCGTACTGCGCTGCATATTAACCGTATTGTTATAATGATTGTCGTGCTGCAACATGCTCTGTGACTCCTTTAGGTCATTGCTATTGTCATCGGAATCCTCGTCGCTGTCGTGTCCAAAATATCCATTTGCATTGGACATGCTGCCGCCGTTGCTGGAATGTTGGGCATGGCTGGCGCCATTTGAGGTCAGCTGCACGCGCGGCTTCTTTGTGTGATAGTTGCTCGACGTGGAGGAATGCAAATCGTCGTCGTTGGTCTTATGACTAAAGGCATGCGCTTGCATCTGCAAACTGTTGGCAGCAGTTCCCGTCACACTGGATGAGGAATGTACCGCCGGCTGTTGTGCGGCTGGCACAGGCTGTTCCTCTTGCCCGCCAGCCCCTACAATGCCTGTCAACGGCGACGACAGTGGCGATTTCATGGAGGAAGACGTTGATGTGAGGCCGCCCGTGCTGCCGGCGCTATTTTGAGCGGCATTTAAGCCCACGGCGCTGTCGCGATACGGCTCCTGGTAGCCCTGCGAGGAGTCGGCCATGACAGCGGCCACAGCAGCGGCCTGTTGCTGTTGCATTTGTGACTGTGAAATGTGCTGCAGCTGCTGCGATGCCACCGCGGCAGCGAAGTCTCTAAAAATCTCCGCCTCAATCTTGACCTGCCCATTAACGTTCTCCAGCGCCGATGCAGCAGCTGTACTGAGCGCATTCATTGTATGCTTCTGATCCGTCGGCTGCTGATGCTGGTGGTAATGATGATTCTGAGCGGCGCCCGCGCCCGCGAAATGCGACATATTCTTGTGTGAGCTATTTGACTTGGAGTCCACATTATATTCACTGTAATTGGAGCTGTTTGCCGACTGCGGCGAGGTCAGAAAGTTGGGCACATTGCGGTAGGATTTGCGCGGCTGTATGTGCTGGTCCAGAAATTTCATTTTCTCCAAATACGGACGTGACAGGTGCTCGTAAACAGGTGGATCGCCCTGTTTGCGCTGTGACACATATCGCTCGCGCAAATATTTCCAGCGCTTCTTACACGTTTCCACTGTCAAGCAAACAATATTGTTTATCAAGTTTACTTAGCTAATTAACGCAAATTGAGTTGAGACTTACCGTCTGTGCAGAGCTTCAGTGCGATGAGCTGCCAGGCCTCGTCCTTGGTTTCGTACTTGCCGCCGCTGACGCTGCCGTTTAGATAATACTTTTGGCGATTGTAGATGACGCCGTGCTGAGCCACTTCATCAATTAGTTGCTCATCCATCATGATGTACATAAATTACGTGAAAAAATCACGGCTTTTTTTGTTTGCCTGGGCTCCAGTTGTTTCGGCGATTTAGGGATGAGCAACAGCGCTGAGCTACTAATGATAAAAGTATCGAGGGACGCAATAATCGATACGTTATCGTGCAACACTAATGACAGTATATAAACTATGTATTTTCGTTGGTATTTGTAGAAATTTTGATTTACTTTTTCTGATCACTACAACGGTCACACTTACCAGTCGTCCAAATTCTTTCGACTTTCGACAAGAAAACATTGGTGTCAAGTGCGCAATAATTAGACATTTTTTAAAAGAAATCGAATGTAAACTGTAACTTGTTAACGAAATTGCTGCTTTAAATTATTCGAAAACTCACTAGCCGCGCGCTGAATGAAATTAAGAATAGAACATAGACACAGTTGTCGAAATTGTTAAGAAAAACGCCGCATAAATTGAAGTTTGTATAAAATAGTTGAACTTAACATGTTCAAGTTAGCACAGAAGTTGCTGCCACAGCAGCATCAGCGGCTTCTACAATGTTCCGCCGTAATGCGTCGGTTTATTTCCACGAGCGATGAAGTCAAATCTGTAGACACAATAAATGGATTGCCGACGGAATTGGTCAATGAGCAGAAATTAAAGAAGACAACCAGGTTTGTATGAGTTACCGTTACCCCCAGTTGTTTACATTACAAGTCCGCAGGGGGTGTGCCCCTGCTGCTTAAAGTGTGAAAGTGTGCGGTCACGTAGGCCACAAACAGCTGTTGCCGCAGTCTCCAAACAGAGTTTCTAGCATATTCAATTCATTTAAAATGGGGGAGGGGGGAAAAAAAGGTATACTGTTTTTATAGAAATATATGTGACAGGAAGAAGGAAGCATCTCATCATAAAGTATATATTATTGATCAGAACGACGAGCTGAGTCGAACTAGCCAAACTCATTTCAATGGCTGAGATTTAGTATATGTACATATAAAGATCGAACTATGAACACCGAAGTTAATCAAGAAGAAGCAAACCCGTAAAATGCGTAGCAAGCGGCTTGCAGGCGTGTGTGTGTGTGTATGGGTGTGCTTGTGTGTGTGTTTTGTATGTATGCATAGAGGTAAACTAGAATGTTTGTGAGCTTGGAAACTTGGCGCTGGGTTCAGGGTATTTCCTAGTCGGGCACTCCCGACAGCTGCAATCGTACTTGTTAAATAATGAATTTTATTTCTGTTTTGGTTTCTCGTTGCAGAACTTTATCTACACTACAAAATCATTCGGTGCCCATAGCAGCGCGCGTCACAGTCTCAAAAGATGAGAGTCGCGACTTTATGGCCGTGTTTCCTGGTGAGCTGCGCATTTAGTTGTTGTTTAATTAGCATAATAATACTAAACAAATGCATATATGTTTATATTATCATATTCTAAGACGTAGTGCGTGACCTCACAAGCGCGACAAAGGCGTACAATTGCAGCGATGCTGCCAAATGGTTTGCCCAGGTCTTGCAATACAATGTGCCGCGTGGCAAGAAGAACCGTGGCATATTGACGGTGCTCACCTATAAAAACCTGGTGCCCGCCGAGGAATTGACACCGGAGAACATTAAGCTGGCCCAGTATTTGGGCTGGTGCGTGGAAATGGTAAGTCTTAAAGTACGGCAGAGAGTTGAGCATACCCCAGCTATAGTTGTCTCTTGCAGCTCCAAAGTTTCTTTATTATATCGGACGATGTTATGGACAATAGCACAACCAGACGCGGCCAAAAGTGCTGGCACAAGGTGGAGAATGTCGGCCTCACAGCCATCAACGATGCCCTCATGATAGAGAACGCAATGTATGCCATACTCAAGCAACACTTCAGCCACTTGGACTGCTATGTGGCTTTGATGGAGCTGTTCCATGAGATCGCGTACATAACAACCTGTGGACAATCGCTGGACTTGCTCAATTCACACAAACGCGTGTCGGAGTTTACCATGGAAAACTACAAAGCAATTGTCGATAATAAAACTGCCTACTACTCCTTCTACCTGCCCTTTGCACTGGCAATGCATTTAGCCGGGTGCGTGTTGACGATATTTGTATTAAATTTTTTCAATAATAAATGCTTCTTTCTTGCAGCTACAAAGATGCCGAGGCATTTAGACAGTCGAAGACCATTTTGCTTGAAATGGGTCACTTTTTCCAGGTGCAAGACGACTTCCTCGACTGTTTTGGCAATCCAGAGGTCACCGGCAAAATAGGCACCGATATACAGGACAACAAGTGCTCCTGGCTCGCTGTGGTGGCCATGCAGCGCGCCAATGCCGAGCAAAAGCAAATTATGATAGACTGCTATGGACAAAATGGTGTGTAAACGACTATCGAAACGAGTCTGTAACTAACTTCTATTATTATTATTGTAGATCCACTTAAGGTTGAGCGAGTTAAGGAGTTGTATAAGGAGCTCAGCTTGCCCTCTACATATGCCATTTTTGAGGAGGAATCCTACAATATGATCAAAACGCACATACAGCAAACATCTCGGGGCGTGCCGCATCAGACCTTCTTGCAGATACTTAACAAAATCTATCAACGGGACTCGTAAACTTAACAAAATAACATATATTACATACATAATGGGGTGTATGTATGCCTGAAAGTGACTAAAATAATATTGTAGTATAGTATTTGACTGGCTTGTGTGCATCTATGTGTAATTTGGTATATTCAATAAGTACAACAGAGATTTTTTACTGTGCAACTCACGGTTGTTCTTCACTTTTAATCAATCATCTGTAAAATCAAAGGGCGCGAATAGCTTACGAAATTCGTCTACATTAGCTTTCTCCTCCTCATTGTCCAGCAGACAATCCTTCCAGTTAACTTTCTCGTCACAATTTAACAAATTCTCGGAACAGAAAACGTCCCTATAAACAATTAATATTTTTTTAATTTTTTTACTAAAGTATAAAACACATGCTACGAACCTCGCAAAGTGCAGCGGAAAATGTTTCATTTGTCGCGTTATCAATGTGCTGTCATCGGGCAGTTCTGCTAGAAAATATGGACCCATTTCTGGCAACATTTTTGCTGAAGTCAAGGCCGGCAACGTCTCAAATTCGAAATTAAACTCCTCAGCTTTGTCCTAAAAGCAATTAGATACAAATAACGTTATTTTAATTGAAGTATAAATAATAATATAAAGTATGCAGCATACCTCAAAACTGTGTTTTATCTTCCACGAATAGCCCTCCTCAAAGGCCACGGCATCGATAATCAGATGTGAGGTCTTGTAATGTCGCTCAGTAAAGCACACAACTTGTCCCAGACTCTTGAAGAGCTTTCGCAATGCTGTCTTGAATTTATCTAGCTCTTCCCAATCCTCAGTGCTCAACTGTGCTGCGCAGGGTACATGTTTGGTGGACAGTATCAAGACATGATGGCTGTTAATGGGTCCTTTGGCCAATGCCAGATAAAAACGCTCGCCTACTGTGATAATCAGATGTTTCTCCACCTTCTCCGAAGACAAGCAGAACCAGCAATTATCTGAAAGAGTGGGAAACAGTGGTAAATCAATCTAAGTCGGGATTAATATGAACCAACCCTGATCAATCTGCATTATCCGTGGCCGCTTATCACGATTTCCGCCCTCGCTGTGCCGCTTGCGATTGCCGCTCGAGTCCATGTCATAAAAGTACTGTCGACTTTCCGACTAAAACATGCAAAATATTATTTAAGAATATTAATTATAATGTAAGCTTATTGTCTTATCTCACCGTCTCATTTTTGTTTACAATGCCAACCATGTCCAGGCCAATAAAGGGGCAGGGTATTTCGTTGGTCGTCTTCTGCACAAGATCTAGTAGACGCGCTTTATCCACAGGTTTCAGGCTGAGCGCGTATATATATTTGGCCTTTGTGGCGTTGCCGACATCCGCCAGCGAGATAAACCGCGTGCACAGCTCGAACTGCGTGGTCTCATCTTTGGGTATGCGAAACGGCGGACTCTCATAGTAGGTGCCATTGATGGCGCAGAAATGATAACGTGGTTTAATCTCGCGGCACAGAAACGAGATCAACTTGGAAGCCTTTGCCTAGAACATGGATTATAGATCAATTATTAAACAATCTGCAATCTATAGCAGGCACTTACATTCTCCGCTTCCTGCAAGCCGTAGGGCCATTGGGACGTCAGGAGCACATCGACTCCTCTGTAGTCCGTGGCACAGTTTTTTGAGACCAGGCAGGAGTTGCGCACAGCCTGAACATCGGCTTTGTTGAACTCATGCTCGCCAGCCGCATTGCCTGCAGCCTCGACGCCACTTAAATAGGCTATTTTGACACCGCTCGTTAGCGTATAAACTCCACGCTTGCCCAGATAGGTCAGATTCGTGCAGACTTCTCCGTCCACCAAATGCTCGTAGTGCTGCTTGTCCTCCTCCTTATTGGGTCCCAGTATGTAAGTGGGAACCGTTACTGTGGCATGCACAAGTGGTACAAATTACAATTACGTTTATTTAGTTTAGAAACGCAGTCTAATTACTGTGCTTGAATCCGTTTTTGTATGCAATCAGCTCTTCGTTTTGTTTTTCGGCGCCAAAAAAGTCGCCGACACAGCACAAAATCTCAAATGGTCCGGCTTTTTTGTTGACCTGCTCCACTCGGCTGAACAGCTGCTTGAAACGACCGCGCACATCTCCCACAACTAAACTGTAATTGCCATTTTAATTAATTACTTTGTTAAATAGATATAAACGTTTTGTTTATGGCTTATCTACATTTTAGCGTTCACATCCATCTGGTTTCAAGCTTCTTCTTGCTTTAATGCGATAGTTGCATCACGATAGTTGCGCATCTCAAACGGTGGCAAGAACAGCTGATTAGATAACAGCGAATTAACATAGAGTGGAGAGTTCTGTTAAGCTGCAGGATGTAAAAAAAATGTAACCCCAATGACCGTTGGGGATTTAAATTTGAAAATTACCATTAATCATAAACATGTGTAGTTATTTGCACTTATCACCTTCAAAACGTGACACATATGTAAACACAAAAAACGCGGGTAATTGTACTTCCTCTTTTTCAGTTCGAAAATTGCTGTTTAATTGACCAGTTGACTTGATATAGGTTCTATTGAAAACGCATATGTTTAATGAAACTTTAACCTTTTTGGTTTTTTCGATGTCAACGCTCCAAAATATGGTATTAGATATGACATTGGCCCCAAATGGCATCCAATTGCAACAATGAACCCGGGCAAAGTTATTTGTTCTGCGTGGCTGGCGCTATTAACTAGTCTCTAGTCTTTATATTCATATTCTAGCGGGCATATAAAAACGTTTGTTTGTCTAAATAATATTATCAGTTTACCTGGATCATCAGAGAGAAGCATACAACTTGGAAGCAATGTGGAGTAGCAAACATTTTCTGGCTTTTATTCTAGTTGGATTAGCATATGACCCATTTGCACTTGGTCAGAATATTGATTGCCAGAGACCTCCTCAGCTAGTGGTAAGAAAATAAATAAAGTTGTTTGCATATTTTGCTTTATATTCGGCAATAAAAGGATCCCGCTCTTTGTTGTCGAGATGGAGGCCGAGACCAGATCGCCGAGAAATGCGCCGAGCAAGTTATAGGAACAGCAAATGGACAGCAAAATTCTGGACCACCTTCAATTGATGCGGCAACCGTCAGTATGCGAATCCTCAGACTTTGTGATGTCTTACAGTAAAGTTTCATCCACAGTGCCTGGCCGACTGCATCCTAACCACGGCGCAATATAAACAGGAGCCAAAGACGCTCAACCTGGAAGTGGTACGTAAGGATCTGTCCATGAAATTCTCGAATGACACGGCATATGTGGAGGCCATGACAGCCGCGTTTACCAAGTGCGAGCCACAAGCCCAGCGAAGATTGGCGGCGATTCAGCAGTTTAATCCGAAGCAACCCAAGTGCAGTCCTTTTGCGGCTATTGTACTGGGCTGCACGTACATGGAATACTTTAAGAATTGTCCAGCCCAACGCTGGACACAGAGCGCAGAATGTGAGTTGGCTAAGACTTTTGTCACTCAATGCGGCTTGGGTGCTTAATCTGATAAAATGTTATTTAATTATGTTAAGTTCAAATTGCGCTACCATTTAAGTGTGTACATAATAAAGTTTTTAAATTTTGCTAAACGATAACAGCGTTAATCGATAACAGCAATGCAGCTCTGTATTGGCTCGGGCCGACGACACAGCCCTGTCATTGTTTTGCTTAAGTGTATGCGCGTAACTGTGATTGCGCGGCCGCGGCTTTTAAAAACATTTTAGTTTCATTTTGTTTAAATATGGCTTTTGATGAACAGACAAAAGGGTTTCGCGCCTGGGCCACCAGTCTTGGCTGTCCGCCCAGCGCCCTGCCCAGCGAGGAGGCGCTAAAATCGTAAGTTCCAGGATAACGTTCCAAATTTGTATGGTAAACTGCCATTTTTGTTTCTTTTCAGCATATTTAAATCGCGACAAAATCAGCTTTTTGTGCAAATTCAGTCGCGCATTCAACCGCGTCAGCATGTGCAGGCGGTGCGCGAGAATCTGCTCATAGCGCAGGTGGCACAGCACAAGGGGAAGGTGGTGCCCGCCTGTGGGCGCAGCTTTCTGCCGCGCCAGCTGCAAATCCATCTCAAAATGCAGGATCTGCAGAAGGAAAAGGAGAAGTCGGAACTGCGCCTGGCGGAGGCCAAAAAGGAATTTGATAGCCTGGCCGCATCCATTAAAATAAAGAGTAAGTGGAGCACTCGAGGGTGTACATAAACTAATATGCCCTTCTCTTCCCATAGATATACAAACAATCAGCGCCACGCACAAAAAGCAATTGCATCTGTCCAGATGCCATATTCTGCAGCTTAAGCTGGAGTCACTTACTAAAAACTACGAACAGGAGCTGCAAAACAAGGCCCAAATCCTGGCCACAATGCCCGTCAAGCTGAGCAATAAGAATGCAAGTGAAAAGCTTGCCAGGAAGGCCGTGGAGCAGGCGCTCAAGGAACTGGAAAACTTTTACAACATCTGCAATGCCGAGGGCAACAATGGCCAACAGTTGACCGAGGCCAAGCTGCGGCTCTGGTCACAAATGCGCGACATCTTTGCCAATACGCCCAACGTGCTGCTCTTCAATGCGATCATGCGGCTCAAAGAGGAGCAACTGCAGCACGTGATGCAACTGAACAAGAGCAACTATACTCTGGACGCAACGGGCAGCGTGGCGCTATCCAAGCCGCCCTTAGATAACTTTCATGTAAAGCTGCTCAAAACCAAGGCGGAGCTGCTCGGTCTTGTGGCCAAGCATTTGTGCGCTCAGAATGAAGTGGCACAGCTGGAGGAGCGTTTCGCCGCGGCCTACGGCACATTTGTGGACGAGCTGCAGAGGAAGGTGAACAACTTCAATGGCATCACCAGCAGCAGCGGCGACGACGACGACGAGACCAGCGAGGAGATCATCTCCGACTTTATACTACAATATAATATGCGCAATTTTAATCGGGCGCGCAACGATTATCTCACCGAGCAGATCGAGCAGCTGCGCCAGGAGCTGGAGGCGGGCGCTAAGCAGCTGGAAAGTCACGAGCTGCTGCTGGGCTCCATCAAGCAGATGTATGGCGAAATCAATACATCCATCAATCGCATACAGCACGACATGCTGCAGCTGTCGCAGATCAAAGAGAAAATCCTCTACTCGAAGAACATGCTGAAGAACATGCTGGACGACATGCAGGTGGCCACGCACCAACAGAGCTCCAAATCGCATCTGTTTAGCACCAAACTGAAGGTGGGCAACATGTCGTTCATGTCGGGCATAGAGAGCTTCAGTCTGGCCAACGATAGCATGCTCTCCAGCACCAAGCTAGAGATCGACACCAGCCCCATGGACAACACGCTGCGTCGCAGTTTCGATAATACCACACTAATGCCCGGCTGCACTACGTCCACGCCGCTGATGCCACCGGCGAGCGCTGGCTCCTCGCTGCCGTGTCATCTGCTCGAGCTGAACACATTCGCCGAAATGCCGCTGGAGAAATTTAGCTGTGTGCCGCGCGCCTGGTATGGCTTCTCCTATATACATTCAATTTCTGCCTGCCTATTGACCATTTTTGTTTTCGTTCTTGCAGCGCGTTTTTGCTGTCGGCCAATCCGCTCATCGTGGAGTCACAGGAATTGGCCACCACCATGCAATTGGCGCCCGGCCATTTGCTAACGCCTCAGGGCGCTCTGCAGGAAGTACGTAAACGCATTTTGTGGGCGTCGGCAATTGCCGAGCACACGTCTGACATGAAATTGAATTTGGAAACGTTAATTGGTAAGCTCAGCGTCCGCCTTCCTGCTCCTCCTCCTTGTAGCCTCTATTTCATTTCCGCTTCCACTTCACACTCGCAGTTGATCCGCACGATTTGAAGTTGAAGGCGCGTCGCCAGCACGAGGAAATTGTTCAGCTGCTGGATAACATTGAGTCCCTGGGCGAGAAGACGCAGCATCAGCTGCACAGGATCGAGCGCATCTTTCGCTTCATTGTGGACAATCCGATGCGACAGTATGTGCCGCCCACCAAACGCTTTAACAATGCCAACTTTGCGGTCTACGAATCGGAATTCAATCTATATTATCGCATAGCCACAGCGGGCGGTTCCATTAAGTCTTAAGTTAAGAATCATATAAAAGACACCCAGTGCACTCTTGCAATAGATATTATAAAATTAAGTAAATTATATATAATAATAACAAAAGAGATGCCCAGTTTGTTTTCGTAAGAGTTTAAGTTAAGTTTGGGTTTTTTGGTTTTTTACTTATTTTTTTATCGCTTTATTTTAAGTTTTTCTTTTTTTTTTATTACAAAAGTCGCATGATTTTTATTTACACCCGCTCGAAAATGGGCTACAAAAGTTTTGTTCTTTATATCGAATTGCGCTTAAAATTGAATGCACAACGATTTTTGTTCGTTCGTAATTGTATCTTTGAATCTCGATTTGAGCAGATCTTTATGAGACTAATTACATATTATATAGCAGCACGAAAATACTTTATTATTTATTTAATAAAAATAAAATATTCTCATAAATATGTGATTGTTCGTAAACGGAATGGAATTACTTTTTGTTGTTGCTGTTGTGATGTATGCATATATTGAGAATATATATATATATTAGTTCTAAAATTATTTAAAAATATACAGAGAGAGAAAAATATAACGGACGGGTTTTTACGAACGAAAACTTGAGTCGATTTCTGGGTTTGTTCTAGGCCCAATTAAAGAAGATTCATTTCTGAGTGAAACTTAGACTTAACTTAACATAAGGTTGGACGTTTTATAGCTTGGATAAATGGTAATTCGACAGAAGGTTTAAACATAGAAGCAAGAACACAAATTAAAATAAGAGTTTGCGGTTCTACTACAGCTGTTGTCTAATTATGTGTAGCTATATATACTTCAGATATATATATATTCGTAATTGTGATTGATGGATTAGATATGGAGCGTCGAGGTGGGCTGGCTGGCTGGCCGGATTGGCTTATCTGGTGTAGAGCAGCGCCAGCAAGAGGCCCAGTAGAGCCAAGGAAGAGGCCGAGGCGGCCATGTGCTCGGCGCCGCCATAGTACGCCTGGCCGCAGGCCGGCGGGCAGACGGGTATGATCGTCTCGAAGAGATTGACACGCGCCTCGGCATCACCAAAACGATTCGTTGCCTTGCACACATAGTCGCCATACTGGCGCTTCTCGATCGTGATGACGCGCAGCGTTGAATCGGTATACTCGTCGGCGGTGGCAAAGTGCGAGATGGTATAATGCTGATTGTTGGCCAGCTGGATGTCGTCCTTGGTCCAGACAATCGCCGGCGGCGGGTACGCCTCAATGTGGCACTCCAGATCCATGTCGTATTGCAGCGCCTGGCCGAGACGTGGCCGCGGCACCGTTATAACCGGCGCAAATTCCACCTCCACATTGATGTTGCGACGATCTCCCTTGCTGACGCCATTGTCGGCCACACAGTAGTAGGTGCCGCGATCCTCCTTCTTCACCGACTTGATGCGCAAAATGTTGCCCACATAAGTGGCGCTATCTGGAAAGGGAGAGAGACAGTCATTAGCAAAGGGTGTTCAAGTGCGTCCGGCTATCAATGGGAGTTAAATGTTTAAATGTTCAAATGTTGCGGCTTTTGTGTTTGTGCACTCGGAAAAATCTGATTTTAATGAGGCGCCGCAAATGACGGGTGACCTTTTGATACCACGCACGCATCGAAAGTGGGTAAGAAGGGGTATGCTGGTTTTTTGTTAATGTATGTAACAGGCGGGAGGAGGCATCTATATATACATATATATTCTTGTCCGTCTATCTGTTCGTATCCGAAATTTTGAATGGGCATAGCTCAAGGATTAAAAGAGCTAAAGACTCCATATATAGGGTATATAGAGTCTCGCATGGTATAATATGTTATAAATGTATTTATTTTAATACTCTTTGAAGGCACAGTCTTAGCTCTTGACATTTACTTGGATTTGGATGCCATATTAAAGATGGGACAAATGCATGTGAGGAATGTTTATTCAGGGCCACTCTTCACATGGCCTAGGGTATCTGCTAGTCGTGCACTCTAACTGGCATTCAAATTCCCAGGTCGAGTGTCTCTATAACAATGGCCACGTTAATGACCTTTAACAAGCGCAGCAAACCATTTAGACATGCGGCAACGTTTTTTGCCAACTAATTTTTGAAAAGCGCGCACTTACAATTGCGCGAGCACAAACTAGGTAAAAGGGGGTGTGTGGGAGGACGAAGGGGGGGGGGGGGGTAGATTCAAGCAACTGAAGCGTAAACGTGAATGGGAATCCGAATGCGAGTGCAAAAGGTGCGACAGCAACTGCAACTGCAGCAGAGGCAGCATTCGGTTCAGTTCATAACCGGAAGTTGAAACGAGTGCAATGCGCCCTGTCGATTACCTGTGCAGCACCCCCCCCCCCCCCCAACTCCCCCGCCCCTGCTCCCGGCGCCAGGTGCATAAGTTAGGTTAGAGTTGAGCGCGTGTCGTGTTGACAAATCAAATGAATTTTTTTTTTAAGAAATGTCAAAGGAAAACAAAACGCAATTGAAATATATTTCCATCGGAGATTCAAATGATTATGAGAAATGTTCAGGTCAAAGGGGACAATTTAATAATGAAAGAGGCTGTTTATGCCGCCCCTTAATGGGCGTGTTTTGCAAATATCTTTACACATTATCTGATGAGGTTTTATATACGAGTTTGTGTAAGAACTAGCAAGGCTCTAGGTTCAATAGCATCAGATAAATTGATAAGAAATGTATATATGTTTGCAAAAGTCCTGTCTCGTGTCTTGTTTTTGTCGTGTTCATCTCGTGTCGTGTTCGTCTCTTGTTTGTCTCGTGTCGACTCATCGCGCTCATCTCTAGCTCGAGCGCATTTGCGGCTCTTCAAACATTTGGCAATTGAGGCAAAAGTCTCGTGTTTGTCTCGTGTCGTGTCGTGTTTGTTTCGTGTCGTGTCAACTAGATTAGAAATAAATGCAGCACGCGCTCAACTCTAGCTCAAAAGCATTTGCGGCTCTTCAAACAATTGGCAAAAGGCAAAAGTCTCGTCTCGTGTCGTGTTTTTGTCGTGTTCGTCTCGTGTCGTGTTCGAATCGTGTCGAAATAAATGCAGCAAGCGCTCATCTCTAGCTCGAGCGCATTTGCGGCTCTTCAAACATTTGGCAATTGAGGCTCGAAACAATTGACAAGCAACACAAACTATCAAAAGCTGAGCACGAGGAGCGTTGACCGTGTACAGCTCTCGGAATGCTCGGAAATATGCTTTATGGAACCTATGCAAAATGCATGCGGGCAAAGGGGGCGGGGGCGAAGGGATGTGAAGTATACATTGTACATATATGTACATAGGCATCTGCTCATTCGGCTGAAACATTTCAAATTAATTGCGCTGGGGAGTCGAAGTAAAATGCATTTGATTCAAATTGAATCGACAGAGGAGGCAGAGGCAGAGGCAGGGGCGTAGCCAGAGAGGGGGGTGAAAGGGTGAAAGGGGCTTGGGAGCAACGCCTGACGACAATTGAATTGCATAGTTCAATTTTAATACCTCAGATGCACTCTGGATGCGGGCTGGATGAATTACAGAAATTCATTTCAATATTGAGACAAGTCATCGGAGACCGAAGAAAATCCAACTGAAGCTTGGGCCTTTTGTTTAATTAGCCCGAAACGAATCACGTTTATGGAACATATGTATGTGTGCACAGTTGGTCAACGAAGTGTCAAACATGTAGCCAGAATTTAATTGCTGACTGCTGCACTAGCAAATACCCTGTAAAGCTAACACACGGGCCTTAAAGTAGATCTAGATCTAGATCTGAATGGCAGCTGAGCTTAATTTGAGCAATGCTTACATCAAAAACTTCTGATTGACTGATTGATGATCTACGATTGATGATTGATCTACCCACAGCACAAATCGTAAGAGCTGGGCAGACATTTGTGAGACGGGGCTTTGGCGAATTCCACCCGCAAATGTGGAAAATGAGCGGAAAATGGTTTATTTAGCTGAGCTTAAATTGAGCAATGCTTACATCAAAAACTTCTGATTGACTGATTGATGATCTACCCCTGATAGTTGATCTACCCACAGCACAAATCGTAAGAGCTGGGCAGACATTTGTGAGACGGGGCTTTGGCGAATTCCACCCGCAAATGTGGAAAATGAGCGGAAAATGGTTTATTTAGCTGAGCTTAAATTGAGCAATGCTTACATCAAAAACTTCTGATTGACTGATTGATGATCTACCCCTGATAGTTGATCTACCCACAGCACAAATCGTAAGAGCTGGGCAGACATTTGTGAGACGGGGCTTTGGCGAATTCCACCTGCAGATGTGGAAAGTGAATGGAAAATGGTTTATTTAGCTGAGCTTAAATTGAGTTATGTTTACATCAAAAACTTTTGATTGACTGATTGATGATCTACCCCTGATTAATAATCACAGGGACGTCGCTTTATCCAATTCCACCCGCAAATGTGGAAAATGGATGGAAAACGATTGATTTCAAAAATCCCTGCATACTATACTTGAAGTTTATGTTTACTTTGGGTTATTTTCATTAGATATTTGACGGATATACTCTTCTTTACGTTGACAACAGAGTATACAAATGCACTTCCTACAACTGTCAAAATTTAAAACTTTTCCTTATTTGAACGAGACGACTTTTAAAGGTTCCGTTTCTTGCCTTTAGCAAACATTTCTATCAGTTCTATCAAGCACATTGCTCAGCTCATTTACAGGGTATGCGCACAAATTGTGGCTTTTGTTTTTGGGGAACGTGTCACTGGAAGCGTACCAAGTGCAACAGCGTGACAGATCGTGTCTCAGGCTCAGCTTGAGCTGCACACGCAGCTGCCATAACAAATGTGCCCATTTTCATTTTCATTTCCATTCCCGATTCCCGATTCCCATTTTTACATTTCTCCATTTCCATTACCCGCAATGACAGAGTCAAGTATTAAATGTTGAATTTTGTTAGCTGTTGCATGAAATGAGATGCAGGTCAGGTCGAACACGACACATTTTTTGGCCCGTTAGCTAAATGAGAAAAAAGTGTTTAAAAAATTGCTAATAAAAAAACAGAGAAACAAACAAATTTCATTCCGCAGAGGTCGCGCATGCGCTTAATTGGGGCGTGGCAGACGGGCAAAAAAAAACAAGAAGCAGAAATAAAGAAAAAATATTTAATTAGCTATTAAGTATGCAAAACGAGTCTCAAGTCGCAGCTTTCTTTTGTCTCAAGAGACAGAGAGAGAGGGAGAGAGAGACTCATTTTGTGGGCATGTTTGTAATTAAAGTCAAGAATTACAATCTATGCACAAGATGTGTGCTCAAATGTTGACTCTTTCTGACATTTTGGGTTAAATTTATTAAGCCTTAGAAAACTGAACAAGAAAAACTCGACTCATATTTGTTAGATGAATGCGATCCTGTGGCACGAACATGATCTATGCGAGAGAGAGAGAGAGCGTCTATTGTTGTGCATGTTGTGAAGTGGCGTTAATTAGGGTTAATTCAGTTTCGGATCATATATCAATCCGGAATGTGTGCAGGATAAACAATGCGGAGAGAGAGAGAGAGAGAACTGCATGTCGACCCTTTGACTGCACTAATTACACAATTCCAGCTCATATATCATTCCGAAACAAGGCGGAATAACTGAAGAACCTCACGTTTGCCTTTCGATAAGCGACTGTTCGGCTGTTCGACTATTGTAATTACAATTTCAGCTGACATAACATTGGCCTAACGATTCTGAACACAGAAAAACAACTAATTAGCTTATATTTCCTTCTATTCCCCGGTTTTTCACTTATCTTCGCTTCTCTATTCTATTTTTTCTTCTCTTTTTGTTTCAGAAAGGATTTCTGTTCGTTTCTTTCTACTCTTTTCTTTTCCTTTCTGTTCTTTTCGACTTGTCTCTTATTTTTTATTATTTTTTTGTCTAATTTCCAATCTTATCACATCTTCTATTCTCCCTTTTTCACTTCTATTTTTGCTTCTCTTCTTTTCCCAACTCTTCTCTTTTCTTCTTTCTTCTTCTCAACTCTACTCTCCTTTTCTCTTTTTTCTTCCTTCTTCCTGTCTCCGTTCTTCTCTTGACTATGCTTCGCTTCTCTTCTCTTCCGTTTTCTAATCTTTTCTTCACTTCACTTCTCTTATCTTCTCTTTTTTACATTAGCCTAATCTTTTTTCACTTTTATTATCGCTTCTTCACTTCTCTTCTTAAATTTTCTCTTCACTTGTTCTTTCTTCTCTTCTTCCTTTTACTCTTCCTTTTTCTCTTCTTCCTTCTTAACTTCTTCCTTCTTCTCCCTTCTCTTCTCTTGTACATCATGCTAGCTTAGGTTTTTGAGCGTCGGACAATTAAGCGAAAGTTCGCCGGTTCAAATCCATCATCAAATCCATTTAGAAATAGGAAAGTTAAAAACAAATTTCAATTCATATATCAGAACGTAAACTAATTCAAGTACTAACTACTGTTACCCTTTAATTTGCCGAGTCCAACCGA